GAGAATACACTAGACCTCATCTTCACTAACAATGATGATCTGATAAGAAATGTCACCATATCAAAAACAATATACTCAGATCACAACATAATTGAGGTTCAGACATGTATGCATGGAGCCCCAGACCGACAAAATGAGACTAGTCACGAGGGAGCATTCACCAAATTCAACTTCAATAACAAAAACATAAAGTGGGACCAAGTAAACCAAGTCCTAACCGATATAAGCTGGGAAGATATACTAAGCAACACAGACCCAAACTTATGCCTAGAACAGATTAACTCGGTGGCACTCGATGTATGCACAAGGCTTATTCCTCTAAGAAAAAGGAGGAGTAGATGTAAAATAGAAAGAGACAGGCGCTCCCTTTACAGGCGACGGAAAAGAATAACAGAGCGGCTAAAAGAGGTCAATATATCTGAAATGCGCAGGGAGACACTGGTCAGAGAAATAGCAAGCATCGAACTTAAGCTAAAAGAATCCTTTAGGAGTCAGGAATCGCGGGAAGAACTAAAAGCCATAAATGAAATCGAAAGAAACCCAAAGTATTTCTTCTCCTATGCCAAATCAAAATCGAGAACAACGTCCAGTATTGGGCCCCTACTTAAACAAGATGGGTCCTACACAGATGACAGCAAGGAAATGAGTGAGCTACTCAAGTCCCAATATGACTCAGTTTTTAGCAAGCCGCTAACCAGACTGAGAGTCGAAGACCAAAATGAATTTTTTATGAGAGAGCCACAAAATTTGACTAACACAAGCCTATCCGATGTTATCCTGACGCCAAATGACTTCGAACAGGCGATAAATGACATGCCCATGCACTCTGCCCCAGGGCCAGACTCATGGAACTCTGTGTTCATCAAGAACTGCAAGAAGCCCCTATCACGAGCCTTTTCCATCCTATGGAGAGGGAGCATGGACACGGGGGTCGTCCCTCAGTTACTAAAAACAACAGACATAGCCCCACTCCACAAAGGGGGCAGTAAAGCAACAGCAAAGAACTACAGACCAATAGCACTAACATCCCATATCATAAAAATCTTTGAAAGGGTCCTAAGAAGCAAGATCACCACCCATCTAGAAACCCATCAGTTACACAACCCAGGGCAACATGGGTTTAGAACAGGTCGCTCCTGTCTGTCTCAACTACTGGATCACTACGACAAGGTCCTAAATGCACTAGAAGACAAAAAGAATGCAGATGTAATATATACAGACTTTGCAAAAGCCTTCGACAAGTGTGTGACCATGGCGTAATAGCGCACAAAATGCGCGCTAAAGGAATAACAGGAAAAGTCGGTCGATGGATCTATAATTTCCTCACTAACAGAACACAGAGAGTAGTCGTCAACAGAGTAAAGTCCGAGGCAGCTACGGTGAAAAGCTCTGTCCCACAAGGCACAGTACTAGCTCCCATCTTGTTCCTCATCCTCATATCCGACATAGACAAGGATGTCAGCCACAGCACCGTGTCTTCCTTTGCAGATGACACCCGAATCTGCATGACAGTGTCTTCCATTGCAGACACTGAAAGGCTCCAGGCGGACATCAACCAAATCTTTCAGTGGGCTGCAGAAAACAATATGAAGTTCAACGATGAGAAATTTCAATTACTCAGATATGGTAAACATGAGGAAATTAAATCTTCATCAGAGTACAAAACAAATTCTGGCCACAAAATAGAGCGAAACACCAACGTCAAAGACCTAGGAGTGATTATGTCGGAGGATCTCACCTTCAAGGACCATAACATTGTATCAATCGCATCTGCTAGAAAAATGACAGGATGGATAATGAGAACCTTCAAAACTAGGGAGGCCAAGCCCATGATGACACTCTTCAGGTCACTTGTTCTATCTAGGCTGGAATATTGCTGCACTCTAACAGCACCTTTCAAGGCAGGTGAAATTGCCGACCTAGAAAATGTACAGAGAACTTTCACGGCGCGCATAACGGAGATAAAACACCTCAATTACTGGGAGCGCTTGAGGTTTCTAAACCTGTATTCCCTGGAACGCAGGAGGAGAGGATACATGATTATATACACCTGGAAAATCCTAGAGGGACTAGTACCAAACTTGCACACGAAAATCACTCACTACGAAAGCAAAAGACTTGGCAGACGATGCACCATCCCCCAATGAAAAGCAGGGGTGTCACTAGCACGTTAAGAGACCATACAATAAGTGTCAGGGGCCCGAGACTGTTCAACTGCCTCCCAGCACACATAAGGGGGATTACCAACAGACCCCTGGCAGTCTTCAAGCTGGCACTGGACAAGCAACTAAAGTCAGTTCCTGATCAGCCGGGCTGTGGCTCGTACGTTGGTTTGCGTGCAGCCAGCAGCAACAGCCTGGTTGATCAGGCGCTGATCCACCAGGAGGCCTGGTCACAGACCGGGCCGCGGGGGCGTTGACCCCCGAAACTCTCTCCAGGTAAACTCCAGGTAAACTCCAGGTACCGATTAGCATCATGGTCGGTAGAGCGGCGGGCTGGTAAATTCTTGATGCTGGTTCGAGCCTTCTATGTTCGTTTTTTATCTCTGGTGTCCACCTTAATATATTTTCTCTTCAAGTTCCTTTTTTAGTGGTAGACATATTCTAATGTTAATTGCTATTAATATAGGTCGGAGGGTGAGATTGAAACTACAGGTGAGCCAGAGCTTTCAGTTAGTTACTGTATATGTGAAAATTTATTTCATTGTGAGTCAGGCGAGGAATAAATGATCATTGAAGAGATGTTTATGAGAAATGTATAGCCAGAGTGAAGTTGTCAATGGTTGTACGTCTTGTGGTATAATAGCTGCCTTGTAGCTATCCACAAATGTTAGCCAGGCGTCCTTTGTTTTTTTGTAAAGGCTCTATTGAAATGACAAGTTTAACCTTATGAATCAGGTTATGAGATTGAGTCTCTTTGCAAAGGCCTTACTGGTCCAGAAGTCAGAAACAAGATAGGGAAGATAACCATCCAAGAGAAGTTGTCTACTCAAAGTGTGAGTGAACGTGTGCATCTGTTAAGGTATGCAGCAGCCGCTCGTGCAGGTACGAGTCATGCATTTACTCTATGAATCTTGATTGTTTTGCCTGCAAGATTCGCCTCAGTTCTCTCTTTCTCTCTGTCTCTGCTCTACCACTCTCCCATCCCCTTTTATTTCCCCTCGTTTTCTCGTTACATTCTCTCACATTTCCCCTCGTTCTGTCCTACCACTCTCGCATCCCCCCTCTTCATCCTTTTTCCTTTCTCTCATTCCGCTGTCCAATATTCTCTCTCTCTCTCTCTCTCTCTCTCTCTCTCTCTCTCTCTCTCTCTCTCTCTCTCTCTCTCTCTCTCTCTCTCTCTCTCTCTCTCTCTCTCTCTCTCACTCTCTCTTTCACTCACCTTTCCCCTCTGCCTCTCTCTCTTTCACTCATCTTTCCCCTCTGCCTCTCCAGCTCCCCTCTTCGTATTTTATCCACGCCCTTCCACTCCTTAATTCAGCCTGCAAGAATTTTGTGTCCCGGGGGGTCTCTGGAGTCTCATCTCCGGGAGGATGCTGGGGTCGCAGATGGCTGGAGGCAGTGCAGGCAGGATGCTCTATCTGTGTGCTGGTGGTTGGTGGTGCTGGTGGTGGTTGGTTGTTTTGATAGTGGGTGGTGAGTGTGGTGGTATCGGTTGTGGGTGCTGGTGGTGGTGATGATTGTTGGTAGTAGTTGGAGGTTGGTCGTTGTGATAGTGGGGAGTAAGTATGGTGGTGTTGGTTGTAGGTAGTGAGTATGGTGGTGTTGGTTGTGGGTAGTAAGTATGGTGGTGTTGGTTGTGGGTAGTGAGTATGGTGGTATTGGTTGTGGGTAGTGAGTATGGTGGTATTGGTTGTGGGTAGTGAGTATGGTGGTATTGGTTGTGGGTAGTGAGTATGGTGGTATTGGTTGTGGGTAGTATGCTGGTATTGGTTGTGGATAGTGAGTATGGCGGTATTGGTTGTGGGTGGTGATGTTGTGGTTGTCGGTAATAGTTGGTGGTTGGTGGAAATGGTGCAGGTTACATACCTGTGACAGGTTTGGAGAATTTTTCTAAGCTTGCAGCCCAGCCTGAGGCCATGTTTCCCTGGTGACCGCCTGAGCAGCCAGGCTATTGCTGCCCGCGGCTCGCAGGCAAACATAGCCATGACAACTGGGCTGATCAGGCACCTGCAGGAACTTCGTCATTTTCTTCTTGAAGACGTATAATTATTTTTTTGTCAATATTTCTAGATTTGCTCCATTCAAAAGGGATAATTGTGTCATCAGTATCAGTCCGATATAAAATAAAGGAATAAAAGACTACAGGTATGTCATAAAATATGGGAATAAATTGCAACACGTATTAGTTTGACAGAAAATAGGGAAATAAAATATCAGGGAGGCAAAATAAGAAAATAAAAAACAACACGTATCAGTTTGACATAAATTTATTCTATTCCTGAAGATGAGTGGAACACTTCACCTGTGAGATAAAATGACGTTATTCTCTTTAATATCTAATGAGAATTTCGACTGGTTAGTATAAAATATACACACGTATCACAGAAAGCAAGGAGAGACAACTCCTTGCACTTCGATTGACCGAGGACAGAGACACGGAATGGAACAGTGGTCATTCCGCTGTGTGTGACGGCAAGGTTCGTTTTTCCTTGGCGTCACCATAGGGGATAAAAAATATCAAAGACGAGAAAAACACTTATGGATCTTTTTTTTCGTTTCTTTTGAAAGATAAGATTAAAGCAATAAACGTCACGTATGTGTTTACAGCTTCACAAACACACGAAATCACTTTGATGTTGTCATGTGGTGTTGGATGGCCGGTATTGCCAACAAGAATGATAGAAAGATACTTGGTGCATGGCAGAACTGTAAACTACGTTTCACTCTGGGGGAAGCTTCATAAACTCATGAAAAAACTCCACTCACAGCAAAATCTGCCATGTAATAAAAGTTTGTTTCTGCACCATGTGTGTTTCTACCATACTTTGTGTGTGTGTGGTTTTTGTGTGTGTGTGTGTGTGTGTGTGTGTGTGTGTGTGTGTGTGTGTTTGTTTTTGGGTCAATCTGGACTGTTAGCTTGCCTTCCTCATGGCACCATCTTGATTTGTTCAGTAAACAAGCTAAGTCCTCAGGGATGTTCATACACCAGGCAGCGGCTACCTTGACTCCAGGTGATCGTACACCAGACAGCGCCTACCTTGACTCCAGGTAATCGTACACCAGGCAGCATCCATCTTGATTCCAAGTAATCGTACACCAGACAGCGCCTACCTTGACTCCAGGTAATCGTACACCAGGCAGCATCCATCTTGATTCCAAGTAATCGTACACCAGACAGCGCCTACCTTGACTCCAGGTAATCGTACACCAGGCAGCACCCATCTTGACTCCAGGTAATCGTACAACAGACAGCGCCTACCTTGACTCCAGGTAATCGTACACTAGGCAACGCCTGTGTTGAATCCAGATAATCATACGTCTGGCAGTGCCTTCCTTGACTTAAGTAATTGTACACCAGGCAGCGCCTACGTTGGCGCCAGATGATCTGACGCCAAGCGGCGCCAATCTTGACTCCAGGTGATCATACATCAGTAAGCACATAATTCTACTTCCTAGTCAACGTGTCCTCCAAACGAATGGTTTTTCCCTCTGTTAGTTTAGGTTAACGTAAATTAACCATTTTTGTTTTTTTACATATGGTTAACATCCAATAATGAACTTAAACTTGGCAGTGCGGGATGTATGTTATTCCCTTAAAACACTGGTAACCCCCACACACGCTGGTGACGAGAGTTGGCTGCTATGTGTCAGGATGCGTGTCTGTGATGCATGTCTCAGTGTGTATATATGCTGAGAGTGAACTTTAATCCCTATTTTAGGGATTGAAATGTTCTTGTCTGGTGGTGAAAAGGTTACTGTGCACCCTTAATGGTCCTCGTGTCGTAGATAGGCTTTAAACCTCATTAACCATCCAATCAACCATGTGTCGCCAAAACCACTTAAGCTTCTCTCAACTTTGTTTGTGTTTACTGTTGACCAGCTGTTGGATACTGTTTGCTTACTGTAGTTTACTGTTGACCAGCTGTTGGATACTGTTTGCTTACTGTAGTTTACTGTTGTCCAGCTGTTGGATACTGTTTGCTTACTGTAGTTTACTGTTGACCAGCTGTTGGATACTGCTTGCTTACTGTAGTTTACTGTTGACCAGCTGTTGGATACTGTTTGCTTACTGTAGTTTACTGTTGACCAGCTGTTGGATACTGCTTGCTTACTGTAGTTTACTGTTGACCAGCTGTTGGATACTGTTTGCTTACTGTAGTTTACTGTTGACCAGCTGTTGGATACTGTTTGCTTACTGTAGTTTACTGTTGAACAGCTGTTGGATACTGTTTGTGTTCACTGTAACTTACTTGACCAAGTACACATGGCCGCACCTTCTTGGATCAAGTACCGCTTTAGAAATGTAATATTGGTCAGTAAGCGTTAAGAATGGTTGGGTGAGTGACAAGAAGCAAGGGTAACGTCAGACATGGTGATAGACTGGAGGGAGTCCGACACCTTTGGTCAGACATGTTGACAGACTGGAGGGAGTCGGACACCTTTGGTCAGACGTGTTGACAGACTGGAGGGAGTCGGACACCTTTGGTCAGACATGTTGACAGACTGGAGGGAGTCAGACACCTTTGGTCAGAAATGTTGATGGGCGAGTGCTTCACCACACTCTTCAGTGTTTGGAATAGAGCAATCTGGGGTCGTCCTTGAAGTGTCTGAAATACCAGGATCCTGCGTTCGTTTCTGGAGTGGTCAGAATAGCATCCCCGGAAAAGCACGTTCTGTGTTCGTCTCTGGAGTATCTTGTCACGATGCAGGAAGTCCTGATGTGTTCGTAATGCTGGATCATGCTCCTAAGCATGTACCTGGCTCATGCTCCTAAGCATGTACGTGGCTCATGCTCCTGAGCATGTACCTGGCTCATGCTCCTAAGCATGTACGTGACTCATGCTCCTAAGCATGTACCTGGCTCATGCTCCTAAGCATGTACGTGGCTCATGCTCCTGAGCATGTACCTGGCTCATGCTCCTGAGCCTGTACCTGGCTCATGCTGCCAAGCATGTACCTGGCTCATCCTCCTAAGCATGTACCTGGCTCATCCTCCTAAGCATGTACCTGGCTCATGCTCCTGAGCATGTATCTGGCTCATATTTACATAGGAAACAATTATTATGTCTCGCTGGCCACCACAGAGTGAATCACAAGACACTTCTCCACATTTTCATCACATGCACCACAAGTTTTCCTCTACCCCATGTGAATACTACAGGACTTTTTATTTTGTTAATCAGACACGCTGTGGCGTGTACAAAGACACTTTAACGCAGAAAAAACTGGAGAACATTTGGCTCTAAGAGCTTCCTCATGACCTTAAAAATTCTGCTTAAGAGTGAAACATTCTCTGAAATCTTAGTTATTCATATTAGTTTTTTTTTTTGTCATATATTGTTGGTGCTACGTCCTATGTGTTTAAAAATGTTCATGGGAATTACAATGAATTTTTGTGTTACAATGTTGATCACTTTAGCGCGCAAACAATAAACAGAGAGACCTAACAGTGGTATAGGTTTGCCAAGTGTATTTAGCTGAACTTTGAATCCACTTTAGAGTAAAATAATGATTCAGTATGAAAATAAATAAAACCAGTTACTTATTATAGAAACGTAAGTGTGAGAAGGAAATTAAACGGTAGTTCAATATCTCTGTGAAGGCTCTGACGTCTGTTGAATGATCATTTATATTCGAGTATTTATTAGATAATGTTCAGACCCATTGATTTAGTGGGAGTTAGTGTTTAGATTGAGTGGGTTAGTGAGAGATTGTTAACGTTTAGACTCAGTGGGTTAATAAGAGATTGTTAACGTTTAGACTCAGTGGGTTAGTGAGAGATTGTTAACGTTGAGACCCAGTGGGTTAGTGAGAGATTGTTAACGTTGAGACCCAGTGGGTTAGTGAGAGATTGTTAACGTTGAGACCCAGTGGGTTAGTGAGAGATTGTTAACGTTGAGACCCAGTGGGTTAGTGAGAGATTGTTAACGTTGAGACCCAGTGGGTTAGTGAGAGATGATTTCGTGAGAGAGCTAACAGTTATCTCAAATAATTCAGTGAGAGATACATAATATTCAGGCCTAATGATTCACTGAAGTAAATGGGGTAAGGACACTCATTTTCCAGGTGATGGGAAACACTCTGTGGTGGTATTTAAGACACATGAGAAACATAATGAATCATCAGGACATCCTGCATGTAACCTCACCCCTCAGACTCTTTCTCTGTCATAATAATATCATGTATTGAGAGGCAGTAACCTCTTTAGTGAGTGCTTCTGTCTCGCATCACTAGCATGTTTTGATGCAACAACAAAAACAAAAAAAAAAATACACCACCTTTCTTATGTACATTAGTTCATGAGGCGACTCTGACCTGCCTCGACCTCTGTTTTGTACTGCGCCCTGACCTGACCTTGGAGGGTCATGGCTCATGGGGTCACTGGCGGCAGGTGAGAGGGCAGGCTTAAGGGCTGGGGTCAAGCCAATATGCGGGACGTGAAAGAAAACAGTAATGAAAGAGGCTACATGTAACATTGTTAAACAAAATGTCTATGTTGTGAAGGTGGACACACTAGGAGCAGCATGCTCCTCTGGTGCGTCTTGCACTTATAACTCACTTCCACAAGACACGTACTTGACGCCTGAAGGATGCGAGGGTGATTAGGTAAGTTGGTTGACCCCGCCCCCAAGTGGTCAGCCTCCTGTTAAGTATGGCACAATAAAACTCTGAAGGGTGGTTAGCGGGAAACGATGTCAGCCGAGATGGGAGTCAACACGGTGGTTACCCAGATGAACCTCTACAATTACCAAGCAAGTTTCCTCTTTAACCTTCCAAGTTATAAGGTTGAAAAATAATGATACTTGTTAAATTTAAAAAAAAAATTACTTTTGCAGCAACAGAAAATTAGAAATGAAAACACAGAAAACAATTAAACTGTCGAAACAAATTGAAACTGTGAATGTTTTATAATGATTTACTTATTACACATTAAAAAAATTAAAATGCTTCCATCTTAGGACGAGTGTTGTTCTCCCCAGCTGAGCATGACCCGTTCTCCCGCGCCTCCCCAAAACTCTAAGCTAAAAATCATTTCTTTACAAATATTCCCTAAAAGTATGCTGTTATCCTGATTCACTTGGCAGAACACTGTCGGGCCTGGCGAGACAGTCCCTTGGACGGCGTCTGCAGACTCACTCAGTTGTAAGTGTAGCTACTCAGTCCTTGGAGCGATTAACTTGAAGGGAAAATTTCAAGCTGAACTGACTGGTGTCATCCCAAGGCTAAGTTGCGGTAGTGGCCCACAAGTTTAGGGTGTCGGGCAACGGTTGGAGTAAGTCGGAACACAACGTTTTTGGAATATGTCGGGAGAGCATTTACAGAAAATATGGGGGTAACTTTCGTAGTATGTAGAGACCTATACTTGGAATACGTCTTGTAGTCCATCGAGAAACTATAGCATGTTGGGGCAACCTTTGTAGTATGTTAGAGCAACGTTTGTACAGTAGTATGTCAAGGAGGGTAACGTTCGTAGTATACTGAAGAAACTTTTATAATGCTTCAGGGCAACGTTTGTAGTATGTCAGAGTAACGCTTGAAGTGTCAGCTGCTGTCTGTCAGGGTCAATTTTTGGAAGATGTTAAGGATATGGTGTAGTGTTGAGGTTGTATGGGAAGGCAAGGATGAGGACACTGAGTAGGTCTGCAGAGTATAGCCTCGGGAACCGACAGCGTGTACAAAGCATGGCACAGAAGAATCCACGTTGAACCCGGTGGCCAGGAACATGATTCTCATAAACATCATTTTACAGTCACCTAACGTAAACGGTTCAGTCATCGGCTTTACAGTCGTCATCGACTCAGGTAGTCGGAATCAACACCTTAGTAGGTTGATTCCCACACTTTCCATAACCATTCTCAACCTCACAATCAACAGAATAGTAAACATCAATGTTTCCATAGTAACTACGGTCATTATCAATAAAAGATTTGTAAAAAAACATTTTAGTATAACCAATATATCAAAACATCACACTTAAGCTCACCTCTTCATCCAACAGAGATTTTTTTTACAAGAATTGTCTTACAATCAATACACTGGTAATTTTTTCTAGAAAATAAACGGACTGTTGCCATTTTCTTGTTTTAGAAATTCATGTGATTTATACTGGAAAGGGAACTTGTGTGGGGGATAGAGAGGAGGGATGAATGCTGAGCGAATATTTTCGAATATATTGCTAACTTGAGAATCCCAAGAAGCCCTCGCCATTTTCACTCTTCGTCTCCTCTTCCTACTTTTTCTCACTATTTTTTCTCCTCGTACTTATCTTTCTCTTCTCTTTTTTTTTTCTCGTACTACTCTTATTCTTTTCTTCCTTCTTCTACTTTACATCACCATAAAGATTTCAGTACTTCTTACTCTACTTATGAACTCTCCCTCTCTATCTCCATCTCCCTCTTGTTTCTGACACTTCTTTCTGTTTGTTTTTTCTGTAGTTCTATCTAGGAGTTGAGGCGGGGCATGATCACAGGGGCACGGTCCGCCTGCAGAAGAGGTACTCCGAAAATTGCTGTCCCTCGACGCCGCCGCCGTTGCTGGTGACCAGGCTGAAGGAGGCGTTGAGGAGTCGTTGGATAGCTTGCATCGAGGTAAGCTTGCAGTAGCCGTTGAGGGGAAACCTGTGAAGCAAAGAACACAGTTCAGACACACTCCAAGTAAGTCTTGATACATTTAAATGCTTATAACATATATATATATGTACATGTATATATATATATATATATATATATATTATATATATATATATATATTTTATATATATATATATATATATATATATATATATATATATATATATGCAATAATAGCTAACGAGCGACACAAGATGCAAAACTCCCACAGGAAAAAGCAGGTTAGGGTAGCTGCTGTACACGATTTAGACCAGGATAATTGACCTAGTACAGATACTTTACACAGTTTAAATCAGGAGAAACTACATAGTGCAGTTATTGTATAGTTTAGATCAGAAGAATTGGTCTAATAGTTACTTGGCACATTTAACACCAGGAGAAGAAGTCTAGTACAACTACTGGAATATTACTGCTCACTAATAGCACCTTTCAAGGCAGGTGAAATTGCTGACCTAGAAAGTGTACAGAGAACCTTCATGACACACATAACTGCGATAAAACACCCCAATTACTGGGAACGCTTGAAGTTCTGTACTCCCTAGAACGCAGGCGGAAAGATGCATGATTATATACACTTGGAAAATCCTAGAGGGATTAGTACCAAACTTACACAAGAAAATCACTCCCTGTGAAAGCAAAAGACTCGGCAGACGATGCAACATCCCCCCAATGAAAAGCAAGATAAGAGACAACACAATAAGTGTCAGGGGCCCAATACTGTTCAACTGTCTCCCAGCATACATAAGGGGGATTACCAATAGACCCCTGGCTGTCTTCAAGAAGACACTGGACAGGCACCTAAAGTCAGTACCTGACCAGCCGGGCTGTGGTTCGTACGTCGGGTTGCGTGCGGCCAACAGTAACAGCATGGTTGATCGGGCCCTGATCCACCATGAGGCGTAGTCACAGACCGGGCCTCGGGGGCGTTGATCCCCGAAACCCTCTCCAGGTATACTCCAGGTAACAATATTTTTTACAACGACAAAAGTAAAAACGGAAAGGAACTCAGTCAGTGCATTAGCATCCCATACCACCAGACATGCACACAAAACATCAACGAACAACATTTTTCTTGAACAAAAAAAGAAAAAATTTTTATCCTCTCCTACACACCAGGGTTTACAAAATTTGAACATTAGAATCACTAGAACACTTGAGAGCAGTATTCGAATACGTGCAACAAGGTTAACACAGTATCAAGTGGATGGACTCTCAAGTTCAAAATACCATATTTTTACAGGAAAGATCACGGAAATCACGCTTGTCGGTTCTAAACCCAACATCAGGTGGAATGTCTACGTACAATTCAGTGTTCTACATTCCAGCAGCCGATCTAGTTCACAAACGATAAGAAGATAAGAATAGAGGAGAGTAGTAGTATGTCTATTGATATAACAGGTAGAACCTTCTCACACAACTATGTTCGCTCATACATTTCGAAAACTAAGATATTAGTTTCAATGATGCAACTTGGCAGTTTGTTCCACTCATGAGTAACTCGGTACACAAACTGAACTTTTCCTTAAAGCTACGACGATTTTCTCCACTTTTCACCAGCCAGGTCACATGTAAATTTGCATACATATGCTTCTTGTGTCCTGGAGTGTCTCTAGTGTGTGTTTTTAATTGTCCCATCCTGACGGCCCTCTGACAACACCCGAACTTGAGCTGATCTTAGCCATGCAAGAGAGGTCATTAAGGCTACAGTTTACCGGTATACCACCAGTCAATAATGCTTCAGATTCATAAAACAGGAATTACAGTAAACTCTAAGCGTTTAATACACTTAGACGTATCTCGGTATATATACCCTTTGATTGTGTGAGTTCCAGGGATAGGTTCTTGGGCAGTACCTGATAATGAAGCGATGGTCGTGGTTCCAGGCGAGGGAGGAACGGGCATCCATCATGGCTTGGGCCACCTCTGGAAAAAGCTCTTCGATGACACACCTCTCCCCGGAGAGCATCACTCGCTCCCCGAGGTCCGGGCAGATGTTGAGGGCGATCACCTGCAGTAGCAGGAGGCAGGAAATTAGACATCTGGGGAGTTTAGTGAGGAAGTAGTGAGTTTTGGGGAGAGAAGAAGTGAGTGAATGAGAAGCATTCTGATAGGGAGACAGAGATACGAATATATTACCTAGATGTGATTACCTCTTTGTAATCATTGGAACAGAGCTATGCTAACAGTGTCCCGTATTCATTGTCTAGTTTGTCCTCTAATTCTAAAGCTCCCAGTGGTTGTAGCACATGCCTCCTCCTGTGTCATGGTAATATGCAACTATGGAAACTGGAACCAGAAAAGGGAAGAAATGACGATATCCATGTCAGGAAATGCATAAATTATGTTAAGAATGGGGACACTATCATTGGGAAAAAATTAATGTTGGTACTTTCACCCTCATGAGCTAACCTGACACTCGAAGTTGGGCGAATCTATGATCTAAGATTCCCAAAAGTTTGCGTAAAGCGTAAAGCATGTTATAGACGCATACAGCAACAAATAATGCACACACACACAAATCCCATTTTCAGAACAGATTTAATGGAGCGGTAAGCCAAATGCAAGGATAAACTAGACAAAATAAAACAGAGAGATAACAGGTGGTAAACGACGGCTATATGACAATGGGATACCCAGTGGGTCATTCATACATAGAAGTTAACTCTGCAAGAACACTCACAATTGAGTCAGCTACCAGTACTGGACGGAACAAGAGTAAGAACGCAAGTCACCCCAGTACTAAACGGAATAAATAAATCATTCCGTTCAAAACAGACCAAATAGATTTATTTTTGTCAGCATATAAGGATGAAAAGCGAAGACGAAATATAACAGATACCTCTCATAAATGACCTCACAGAAACAAATGTCACCTGGATGAATAAGAAAAAAAAATGGCTGCACAGAAATGTTAAAAGCATCATTTATTATAGTAGATGTATATAAGGATAAAAGTGAAGAACAAAAATCTGATAATTATCCTCATATAGAAACCAACGTTGGCAGCGGCGAAGGAATTCACTCAGGATATAAGAAATATATATTTGCCTGACGCCCAAGTAGCTTGTTTACTTTGGTTTCCATATTCATCTTGTGGAGAAGACATAGATACACAGAAACTTAGAAAATAAGTCCCTGACAAAAAGATGAGCAAGGGTTCAGTTGGGTATATTTTATTTAAGAGTTTGTCGTTCTTCAAATAAAATCGGGAATAAGATTCATGTTAAGAATGTGTCTTAAGGCTGAGTCAATAAACACTTGTGAATGCTAGAAGAGGCATAGATAGTTTTGGCAGACTGGCTTATGACAGAGCTGTGACGTCTGAAATATCAGAAAAAATCGTTGTTAGTGTCAGCATGGTAAACACTTCTCTCGTGTTCTATTCCCCAGGCGCTGTACGGGTTTAGCGTTTCCTCCCTAATTATTTGTGTTCAGAATTTGTCTGAAAAGGAGAGGCCAGTTTCACCGATGTATTGGAGAGAGCAAGGGAAGCAGGGAATAGAAGAAACACCGAAAGTATCAGTGGAAAGAGAAGTATCAACCATATAGCTACGAAGTGTGTCAGTTTGTCGATATGCAAGTTTAATATCCAAAGGACGAAAGATGTTATCAAAATTTTGTAAATTGGAAATATAGGGAAAGGCATAATAAAGGAGTTTTCAAATGAGAAGTTACGTTTGTTTAACATGAGAGTAGACAAAGTTTATGACAGTTAAGACAAGAGAATGAACTGCAAAAAGTGAAAGCTTCAGAGTTAAGAAATTGGGAATCACAGATGTTTAAGGCGCAGAGGAAGACAGAAACGAGAACACTTCTCTTAATAGATTTTAAATTGTATGAATGTATATGCCACTGTGCATAAGCTTGCGGCAGACTGAAGATAAATCTGTCTCAGAACGGTAGACATGAACATGAAGAGTATAATCTAAAGAGCGGAAGGTTTATTGAGAATATTTGGCCAGATAGAAAGGCTGGAACAAGGCTGACAAAGAGGATGAATAAATACGGGACGGATAGAATGAGAAATAGGTGATGGTAGGGACATAGAGAGGTAGGGCTCCGAGCATCCAAGAGGCCTGTGTGAGAGTGTTAGATCAAGGTGGTGACTCGTTGTATATGAGATTATGACTTGTCGGAGTAGTGTGAATGTGGAAATCTATGAGGGGATTCAGTAAAACCTGTTAGCCGAGCTTGAATTATGGAGTTGGAATATATAACACAGTTCTTAAGTGGTGTTGGGATGTTGTAAATCGGTAGATCATTAGTGGCTCGTGACTGTGTCATTCTGGAAAGACAGCATGAGGACAAGTGATGGAAAATGTTTTCTTCTTTGGGTAACCTACCATGATAGGAAACGGCCGATACAAAGAAGAACAGAGAAACAGACGGACAAAAGATGAACCACAAGGATGGCCAACAGTAACAGCCTGGTTGTTCAGGCCCTGATCCACCGGGAGGCTAGGTCGTGGACCGGGCCGCGGGGACGTTGATCCCCGGAATACCCTCCAGGTAGTACCTTTTCAGTCTTGGGGTCATAATTAAGTGGAATGCAGAGGTAGATGAAAACACTATACCCAGCTTCAAAAGAACATAGGCTCAAGTCTTGGAGGGCACAGATTAGTGAAATTGGTCGATAAGAGTTGAGAGGCTGGACCATTAGCTATGATTCGACTCCTACGAACACAGCTAGGTAAGTAAAGACAGACACACACATACAGACTGACGGATGTAGACAAAGACAGACAGACACAGACTCACGTCGTATCCGTGGCTCTCGTCCTCCTTCTTGATTCCATTGACGAGTGACTTGTGTCTGACGGACGAGTGTGACGACGATGATGACGAAGATGACTGTGACGAGTGTGACGACGACAACAAGGACTTGCGTGCCTCCTGACGAGCCTTTTTCATTTCCTCCACCTGCTTCACCAGACCTGCGGGAAAGCTAACTCTCTTAGCTGTCTGTAAGGTAGAGAGGTTGTGGAGGGTATTATGTTGGAAAGGTGATGGAGGGGGTTATGTTGGAGAGGTGTTGGTAAGGTGGTGCATGGGGTTGTGTTGGAGAGGTGATGTTAACAGTAAAGGGTGATAGTGTGGTGGGGCAGAGTTGTAGTTGGTAAGAGGGGTGTGGTGGGGCATAGTTGTAGTGGGTATGAGGAGTGTGATGGCGCAGAGTTGTAGTGGGTAAGAGGGGTTATAGTGGGGTAGAGTGTAGAAGCAGTAATACATAGGGACACCACCACCAATAATATATCCCAAAATTGTAACACTAAGGAGGAAAAGTAGACAATACAATATTGCAAATATAATGGAATAGCAGAAACACATTACTAAAACTTTTCAAGGAATAGACGAGCCACAAACCACAGCGCCTCTGTGGTTCGTATTGACGAGCCTCTGACTACAGAGCTTTTGCCCATTGAGGTCCGTCATTGACCACAGGTACGTCATTAGCCACAGAGTTTCATCATTGGCCACGGAGGCGCGTCATTGAGTACAGTTTCGTCGCTCTGCCGACAGATATTCGTTACTCTAACAGTAGAGAATCGTCTCGGTGTTGGCAGAGCGACTGACTAGTAAATAGTACATATAGTATGAGATCGCCTGCTCGAGGCTCTCCCACCGCTTGACAAGACATTGTTTACTGAAATTCTTAACATTCATGTACCTCCAGATATGTATATATATCGGGTGTTTTTCTGAGGAGTATTTGATTAAACAAGTTGAACCACCCTAAGACTGAGCTTTTCCAAAACTAAATTTTACGATCTAGATATTTATGAGTTGACATGATATACAACCTTTTTCATTTTATCTTTTAACAAAACAATTTAGCAAGTTTATATAACTTTGCTAAAATTAACGTGATATAATTTACCTTAATTTTTGCCTAACCTTTCTTAGGACAGTCATAATATAGTTTATATTATTTAATACTGATGCAGCATATTAATTGCGTGATAGGTAAATTTATTAGTTCAGTTATTGCAATAATAAGTTTGCTTCCGACTTGGCTGAAAAGTCATTGTTTTATAAGAAAAGGGAGCAGACTTTGCCTTCATAGTTTGACGTATATAATATTATATATATATCGTAGTGTTAGTACAAGGTGTTCCAACTATTTATAACAACACAATTGCCTTTTAAATTTAAATTTAACTCAGCGGTATCTGGACGCGAGTTTGTAATGTTATTGTTACTGTAGTGAGGAAAAGTCCAGTGACTACAAGGGAACTAAAATGAATAGTAGGGGAAAGGAGAAGAAATAGACCCAAAAGATGGCGTCTCCAGACACCTCTTGCCCTATTAGAGGTGGATGCCCTTGTAGAAAAAACCTTTATTTCTAAACTGTTTTCTCTAAGCAAAGATATAAATCAATCTTTTAATCAAAAGACTAAGTTAAGGTTTACCGTGTAAGTCTTCCTCTCAGACAAAAGAAAACTCGATAAATTAAGGTTATCATGTAAATCTTGCCTCTAACAGAAGAAAACTCGATAAATTAAGGTTGCCATGTAAATCTTGCCTCTAACAGAAGAAAACTCGATAAATTAAGGTTTGTCGTGTAAATCTTGTTTCTCTAACGGAAGAAGACTAATAATTCAGATTTACTCTGTAAAGCTTGCTACACAAACTAAAGAAGCCCTACCGTCGATCTCGAAGTATCTGGCTTCCTCGAGGAGGAGATCGTGGTCGGTGAAGTCGTCTGGAAGGAGCATCCTGCCGTGACGCATGTAGTTCAGGATGTGGCGGAACATTTTGCCGTCTCGGTCAATGAAGTAGTGCTGCTTCAGGGAGTCCAGTACGATGGGGATGGAGCCGTTGAAGAGCCGCGCTAGTCTGCTCTCAGGAAACCTGCAAAGAGAAAGTAACCTCGTGAGTATGTTTTATGATGAGCCTCTCAAACATGCCTAAACCTATTGTGAATACATAATGGAGATTTCAAGAACGCTGAAGCTTTGTACATATATTGTACATAATGATGGACCTTTCAAAGGCCTGGAAACCTCTTACGCATACTGTAAACAATGAAGGCCCTTTCTAAGATGTTGAAACCAGTTTGTTTGCCCATAAATAATTATGAGTCTTTCAAAGGCTCTGAAACATATATATATATATATATATTATATATATATATATATATATATATATATATATATATATATATATATATATATATATATATATATATATATATATATATATATATATATATATATATATATATATATATATATGTCGTGCCGAATAGGCAGAACTTGCGATCTTGGCTTAAATAGCAACGCTCATCTTGCCATATAGGACAAGCGAAAATTTGTGTATGCAATAATTTTGCCAAAATCATTCTGAACCTAACGAAAAAAATATATTTTACTGTGTTTGTTTAGTATTAAATTATTGTAAACAAATCTAAAATATATTTCGTTGGATTAGGCTAAAATAAATTGTTCTTGTTATAATAAGGTTAGGTAAGTTTTCTAAGATTCTTCTGGTGCAAAATTAAAAATTTATACATCAACATTAATGAAAAATATATATCTTTAAACGTATAGGAGAAAATTTTAAAAAGGACTTAATTTTAAATGAGTTCTTGCTAAATGACCAGTTTTACATATTCGGCACGACATATATAATGTTGGGCCTTTATGAGTAGCCCTTCAAAGACCCCAGGTATTAGGAACCTTTCAATGACGGGATGTCACCACAGATCAAAAAGGGGGAAAGGAGGGGGGGAGTTATCACAAGGAATGAAGGAGGTATAGAAAGTCACCACAGGGAGTTAATGTGTATACTGAATACTTTAATCCTTAAAGACTAAAGTAAAATCTCAGCATATATTCACTGAGAAACAGGCCTAGTGTTATATATATGTTCTGTTGTCTCCTTTGCGTTTTCAGTGGGAGAAAAATATATTCGGGGTATGCCAGCGGATGCTTATTACAATATTACAATTTTGGTAATCAAGCTTTCTAGGTTCGCAACACTTATCCACTTAACAGGTCATTATCTGATTACGATCCGTGTTAGGAGACACTGTCTTGTGTCCCTGACGAACAGAACACTGCCTGGTATCCCACGCTCGTGTGTTTCCCTCAACAGGAATCCATAAGAGAAGACAACGGAATGAAACTCATGTTTTCCGCGTGATCTTGTGTTTGCCGTGTGTTGGGATGGACCCGCTGCACAACGTCTCAGGTCGAAGATTCTCTGTTGACATCAAACACATTTGACAGTTTATTAAGATATTGAAGCAACTGATGGATCATCCTGGGAACTGATTTTTGTATTTTCCTTATCGAACTTGGTGCCCTTCATGAGGAGAAGGTTTATTATACTCAAACTGGTTGTTTGAGTACCAGTGCGAGCTTTCCTCTAAGTATCATATAGCAGCATGAAGATTTGAGGCCGATCGGAAGAAACCTCATTGTATCGCACGGGAACTTTAGAGAACAGAAAACGAAAAATGTTGTAAAACTTAGTACTATAGGTATCCCCTTTTGGGAGATTATATGTGCATGGCGATGTGAATGAGTGAGGTGTATCGTATACTGATGGCAGCTAGGCCATTGCGTCTTCCACCTCTCCCTCTCTCTCTCTCTCTCTCTCTCTCTCTCTCTCTCTCTCTCTCTCTCTCTCTCTCTCTCTCTCTCTCTCTCTCTCTCTCCCTTCCCTCATTTTTCCCTCGTATTTCCCCTCCCTTCCCTCGTTTTTCCCCTCCTTCCATTCCTGCCTCGTCTGCCTCCTCCAACCTCCCTTTTACCCTCGTGTTCGCTCATTCTACTTTTCATTCATCGTCTTTCCCCACCCTTTCATCAACCCCTCGTTGCCCCCGTCCCAGTATTTTCCCCCTTGTTTTGCCCCTTTACTACGGCTCCTCCTCCTCCTCCTCCTCCTCCTCCTCCTCCTCCTCCTCCTCCTCCTCCTCCTCCTCCTCCTCCTCCTCCTCTCTTCCTCCTCCTCCTCCTCCTCCTCCCCCTCCTCCTCCCCCTCCTCCTCCCCTCCTCCTCCTCCTCCTCTCCTCCTCCTCCTCTCCTCCTCCTCCTCCTCCTCCTCCTCCTCCTCTTCCTCCTCCTCTTCCTCCTCCGCCTCCTCCTCCTCCTCCTCCTCGTAGCCCTGTAGCTGTCCTTTCGTTTTCGTAATCCACGAGAAAGTCAGTCAAATTGCAAGAATGTCAATTTGGTCGAGGCAAACACCCCGAGGCCAGGATGCTTTCATCCACCTACTTCTTCCTAGCCCTGGGGGCCCCGACCCCCCGGGCGACCCTCCTCCTCCTACTCTTCCTCCTCCTCTTGCCTCATGGAGGGCTGAGACTTTGGTGCGGCTGGGGACAGGAACTTGAGCTGAGAACTGGGAGAAGGGGGCTACGGACTGGGTTTCTCTCTCTCTCCATTCCTATCTACTATCTGATATATATGTCAGTAGTTCTAGGAACTCTTTCCCAGGCAATCTGGTCTCAGACCAAACCTAAATTAAAAAAGAAGTATTCGAGGGATAACCATCATTAAGAAATATACGATAAAATATAGACAACTGAATTAACCCTGAATACCCTCCATCCCCCTCCCACAGGCGCTGTATAATCCTACGGGTTTAGCGCTTCCCCATTGATTATAATAATAATAACAGGCTTCCGTTTCACACATACAGCAGGAGGGTAGTACCTCCCTAGAAGTTTCCTGTCTACCTACACATTATCTCCTGCATCTTGCTTACGTTGGTCATGGAGATACATTGGTCGTAGAGACGACGCAGACCTCAGATCTCTATTTCTCCCCCGACCCAATTGCTGACCGTACCTTAGGTATAAAAGTAACACGTATGCAACGTTAGGTAACGTTTTTGTGAAAACCTTTCGCTCACCAAGGGCTTTCTCGCCTTCCGGAGGCTTCGTGTATCTGGTGAGCTACACGTTTCCATAATAAAGTTACCTAACATTGTATATGTACTTTTATACTTTTGTTGGCATTATAACCTTGTTTGTAACAGACCAGAGCTCTTAAAAAGATACTTTGCCCCTTCTTATTTTTGAAAGATGGAGGGGAGGGAGAGAGGGAGGGGAAGCCGGAGGACATTTTCCCTCTCTCTTAGCTTGCTTTCATTTTCATTTGGGATTCATTTTTTTTTTTTTGCTTTTGTTTTTTCATTCTGCTTTCATACTACCTTTGTATAAGATTTTTACCACTTTTCCAACAATTTACTGCCACATGTATACCAGATTTTTGCTACTTTTCTCACTCTGATGTAATTCTTTCGTAGACTCCTTACGAATACCCTGTAGAGTACTTACATAGTATTATCTGTGTTATAACTAAGTTCTTGTAGAGTACTTACATAGTATTGTCTGTGTTATAACTAAGTTCTTGTAGAGTACTTACATAGTATTGTCTGTGTTATAACTAAGTTCTTGTAGAGTACTTACATAGTATTGTCTGTGTTATAAACTAAGTTCTTGTAGAGTACTTACATAGTATTGTCTGTGTTATAACTAAGCTCTTGTAGAGTACTTACATAGTATTGTCTGTGTTATAACTAAGCTATTGTAGAGTACTTACATAGTATTGTCTGTATTATAACTAAGCTATTGTAGAGTACTTACATTAACCTCCAAGAAGATATAAACAAAGTTTTCCAGTGGGCAACGGTAAACAATATGATGTTCAATGAGGACAAATTCCAACTACTCCGTTATGGAAAACTGGAGGAGATAATAACTAGAACAGAGTATACTACTGACTCCGGCCATACAATAGAGCGGAAAAATAATGTAAGGGACCTGGGAGTAGTAATGTCTGAGGATCTCACTTTCAAGGATCACAACAGTGCCACGATCGCACGTGCAAAGAAAATGATAGGATGGATAATGAGAACTTTCAAAACGAGAGATGCAAGCCCATGATGATCCTTTTCAAATCACTTGTTCTCTTTAGGCTGGAATACTGCTGTACATTAACATCTCCATTCAAAGCAGGTGAAATCGCCAGATCTAGAGAGTGTACAGAGATCCTTTACTGCACGTATAAGTTCTGTCAAGCACCTTAACTACTGGGATACGCTTGGAAGCACTTGACTTGTACTCGTTGGAACGCAGGAGGGAGAGATATATCATAATCTACACTTGGAAAATCTTGGAAGGAATGGTCCCAAATCTGCCACACAGAAATCACTCCCTACGAAAGTAAAAGACTGGGCAGGCGATGCAAAATGCCCCCAATAAAAAGTAGGGGCGCCATTGGTACACTAAGGGAAAACACCATAAGTGTCCGGGGCCCAAAACTGTTCAACAGCCTCCCATCAAGCATTAGGGGAATTGCCAATAAACCCCTGGCTGCCTTCAAGAGAGAGCTGGACAGATACCTAAAGTCAGTGCCGGATCAGCCGGGCTGTGGCTCGTACGTTGGACTGCGTGCGGCCAGCAGTAACAGCCTAGTTGATCAGGCCCTGATCCATCGGGAGGCCTGGTCATGGACCGGGCCGCGGGGGCGTTGATCCCCGGAATAACCTCCAGGTAACCTCCAGGTAGTATTGTCTGTATTATAACTAAGCTATTGTAGAGTACTTACATAGTATTGTCTGTATTATAACTAAGCTATTGTAGAGTACTTACATAGTATTGTCTGTGTTATAACTAAGCTATTGTAGAGTACTTACATAGTAGTGTCTGTGTTATAACTAAGCTCTCGTGGAATACTTATATAGTATTAAGCTCTTGTAGAGTGCTGGAGGGCCCCGTTTTACAGCTCTTCGCTTTATAGCGTTTCCCTAGTGCAACTGTTTTCAGTTATACCCAGTCTTCATTTATTCAGACTTCCTACAAAAAAATATAATCACCACTCACTATAAGCTAAGGACGAAAA